CATTCCGTTTCCTTGTTTGAAGTAAAATAATTTCAAATTGCTCCTCCTGATATTTAATATTTTATTCCTATTCCTAATATTTTCTCTATTGTGCGCAGGGCCTAAGGTTAAAACCCGTTCATTCAAAAACGCTGATAGATTACGAATCAATATACCCTAGAATAGAAATTCTATGGTCAACTTCCCACTTATTGTCACGTGACCGATTTTAGTTCACTTCTATCTCGTATCAGAAATAGAAGGCGCAAGTCGGCTTCTTTTCCAAAAGAGAGTTTGCGCACTCTGGTCATACAATTTATCTTGAGGGTTTGTAAAATATATATTGAATCCTAAAATATTCTTGTAATCCGCTCAAAATCGAATAAATACAGACAATATACTTATTCTAGTAGCTAAACTAGATTTATAATTTATGATATTAAAATGCAATTAATATGCATTTAGATTTAGAGAATCTTAGCAGTAAGATAACCTATAAAAAGAATTTATGTTTGCACACAGGATGGCACCAAGATATGAATTGGCTGTTGGGCTTAGGGTTGCCACCCGTACTTTAAAATAAAGTATTGTACGTTATTTTGGACGTACATACTTTATATTTTGTAAAGCAATAAAGTACGCTAAAATACTTTATTTTACGAATACTAAGTTTTCATTAACACGTTCACGGCGGATGTTACCGTGTCGCGTATATGTGATTTATTATTATGAGCGCATTCCGTTTCACACATTGAGCGCATAGATCGCCTGGAAATCTATAGTTCACGTAACATATATTAGTATTAGAGGAACAAAGCTTCTCTAAATTTAATTAAAAATGAGTTGTTGATATATTTAAATTTAAATATCGGTTGTAAAGACGCTGTAGAAGTCTTTAAAAAAGACAAACACTTATTAGATATTGCTAAAAGTAATAAAAAATATGCATGGAAAAATAAATAATATAAAAAATATATGTACTTTTTTTTTTATTTAACGTACTTTTTTTTCGTTCTCAAAGGCGTTACATACCGTTATTCGTTTTAAAAAAAAGGTGGCAACCCTAATCGTTACCCACACTGAGAATTTTCGCGTGCGTTTGGGATAACGAATCTACAAGTTACACTATCATCCGCGAAATAAAATAAACGTAAATCAATATTGATCATTAATTAATTCAAGTATCTTTGAAAGAAAATTATGGAATTTATTATTATATGAAATCGCGCTTCTCCTTGTTTAACCAGCTGTGATAGCTCTCCACTGATTCGAATATTTAATCCCAAAGCGGAGAAACTCCGCATTTACGTAAGTATACTCGGTGCAAAAATCTGCGCGGGCGCGCGCGACGCGTTGTATATCGTTGATAAACCGCATCTGCGGTTCACCACGCGCGCGGATAAAGATTAAATTCTTCGCGGAACCGGTTTAGATGACTTTAAGAAATATTATACGGTGGCAAAGCGAATTCGCTGTTTATTTAACGTTATTCAATCGCGCACTCGAGCAATTAAATGCGCGCACCGTTGCGTTTCAATGCCGACGTGTCGACATTATTGTATTTTCGTCGCGACAGAGATAACTTCTTGGTTATACAAAAAAGAGAAAGAGGAAGAGAGAGAGAGAGAGAGAGAGAGAGAGAGGCATCTCGCGTCCCTCGCGCGCGCACGCGTTGTCGCAAAGGTAATTAATTAAAATGGGGAAGGGCGCCCCTTTTACGCTAATTTCAATTTAATTTGCCACACAATTATTTGCTGGTTGCAGATCGATAAATCATTATTGACTTTGTCAATAAATGCAAATGCGCCGGTGCGCTCATTACGCAAATCAAATTATTATTAATTAGTGTACTCTGTTTTATTAATCGTCTAGCATCTAGCTTGTCGTTCGATAATAACAAATTGTGAAATGTAGCGCGATATTTCGGTAATTAAGCGTACACCCGGTGCCCCCCCCCCTCTCTTTTCGCGCGCACCGCGGAAAATTCCCTAGAGACGAATCCGTCGCGCTGCATGTGCGTGACTCGCATTCGCAAATTACCGAGAACCAAACGCGAGTTCTACAAAGAGGAGATAGACGGCGGCGAACGATTGTTAAAAGAAAAAAAAAAAAATGCGCAATATTCGATGCTCGATGAGAAAGATTGGCGAATATTTCTAGGAAGATGTAAAATTGCTATCGATCGCGACGTGTTATGTCATTAGCTGCGCGAGAGATCCGCGCGATTGACGCGCGCGCGCGGGATCTGTACGCTTGATAAAGCCGCGAGCACCCGGGACCGGCACCATGTGTATCGCGTGCACGAATATTATTATTTTATTCTGACGTCAAGTATATAAACGGCCAGGTCGTTCGCTATGCACGCGCGACGCGGCATCGGCACGGAAAGTTCGCGGCTCGGATACGTTCACTCGCGACTCTATCTGGGACAGCGGTGGCAAAAGGGTCTCTCCTCGCGCTGTCGTCGTCGTCGTCGTCGTCGTCATCGTTGCGGTAACCGTACGTAAGTGCGAGGTATGCTGACATAGAATAACGCGCGCATAAACGCACCGTAACGAAGCGATGTTTACTCGTAAGTATCATGTAGGCACCGGTATAATTGGCATTACGTAAGGTGTATATATGCTCGTCCTTATGAGAGTCGCGCGGCTCGCATACGAAACGTCACCTTTCTCCACCGGCGTCGAATCGAGTCGCAATCAACGAACGGGACACACGTCGCGCGCAATCGCCCTTGAGCCGAAAATAGAGTTCTCTCTCCGCGATATTAATCTATTCGAAAGCGTTTCATTTAAATGCGCGCGCGGGTTGCATTTACATTCGAATATGTTGATTAATTAAAAAAAACGATGCGCTTCCGCATTTTTCGAAAATGACAAGTTTATCTGACCTCGAGATCACGAAACATGCCGTATTTTTATTCAATCCGGTAATAACTTTAACTCTGATATTTTCTGATTTTATTGTAATTCACACAATACCTTCAAACAAGTTTTAAAGATTGAATCTATAAAATATCGAGGCATATTTAATAAAAATTTCCTCGTCCTAAAAGATTTGCGAATTAATTTATTTGCAGAGTCTTTAAATAAAAATTAATAAAAAGATTTCTCAATATATTGTAATAAAAAAACAACGCAATATGTCAAGTGATTTGCACGTACGAACTCGCGTCGGATCCAAAGAGATCTATGTACGTTCGAAACCATTTTAACAGTCCGTATGCCGCCTCTGCGTTCCCGCGCCGGGATCGACCGTGCTCGCCTCCCGCATTCAAATCATCCCAGGGATCGTGGGACCGCGGGCGGCGCACGGGAACCATCGAAACCGAGCAGCGATTTGCAAGGAATGTCAGTCCCGAGTTCGTAGCATCCAAAAGGGCCAGCACGGAGCAGCAGCGCGATCAAACACATCGAATAAAACGCGTCTCTATACATGTATATACAGGGTGTTTCAAAAATACTTCAATAAACTTTGGGGGTGAGTTCTCCATACAAGAACAAGAAAAAATGTCATATAAACATATGAAGTCATATATGTTTATATGACATTTTTTCTTGTTTTTGTAGAAAAATCACCCCCAAAGTTTGTTAAAGTATTTCTGAAACATCCTGTAGGTCCTCTCTTCCACTCATTTGGCGATTTAATTAATTACAAAATTGTCAATGATAATAATTGATAATTATTGTATATAAATAATAATATATAATCGTAATAAATGATTATAAATAAATAGATGATCTCTATCTTTCAAAGACAAAGATTGAAATGAAACATGCAAATTTTAAATGCCAGAATTTTTTCTGGACTTTTCCAAACTTGCATAGGTACATCGTCATCTCTAATTTCGACTACGCGATTATATTGAATTACTCGTCGAATTCTGTCCGAAAGCTATTTTGATAAAAATAGTGAAAGACACATGGCATACATATCTCGTCCTTCCATTCATAGTCGCAAACTTTCGCAGCGCCCAACGTCTCGCCCTCTTCAGACTCTCCTCCCGTCAAGCGTACCGTTTATAATTCAGGGAAGTACGATTTAACGCGGATCGTCAAACAATTAATAATCCAGCGACTCGGAGATCTGGCTCGACGCCAATGTTACCGCGCGCACCGCGATAACCCATAAAACTTTCTCGACACACTTAAGCGCTCGTTTACACGTCGCGAAATTAAGGCAATTTTCCACTCTGTCGACAATCTCCGCTCGGTCTATTTTCGTCGAAGGCGCTCGCGAGGGCGTGGATCGCGCTAAGGCTTTTCCGCGACCTCCGGTAACCTTGAAGAGCCGCGGCGGATTCCGCATGCATCTCTTGTGCCTCACTCTCGCGTTCTCGCCCTCTCTCTCTCTCTCTCTCTCTCTTTCTATCTTTCTCTCGTTCTCTATATACCGGTCGCGCACGGTCATATTTTGGCGATACCTACTTGTTGCGCGAGGAACGACCTATGTGCACATATGTACCCCGTCATCTACATACCTACGCTGGCGTAGGTACAGTCGACATCAGAGCGCACGCCGGCTGCCTGGCACGAGCGCAAACAGAGTGAACGACCGCGGCTCTCGAAATAATTTCGCTATTTTCCTCGAAAGGACCCCGACATCAGCTCCTTCTATCCGTAACTCCGTTGATTTATGCGATTCTATCGGTCCGATTCGCGTGGATACGCTCCATGATAACGAATTTGCTTATATAGTTGGATCCAGATTAATACTGCTGGATCCATTTTAATCTGAGATTTTTAGCGCTACATATAATTAATCAAATAAAATAATGACAATTTTTATATATATATATATAATTGATCATATAATTTTATGTATTGTAACATATTTTATGGATTTATAATATTATACAAATATTATTATTATATAATCATTGGGATGACATGCAAACGATTTTTGAAAGTTGTTATCAAATTGCGAAAGATCACAAACGAATATTACACAATATGAGGAGGTGTTAATTAATAATTCGCTAATCTTTTGTGGGAGATTTCATATAAAATAATTTTTTACAAATTTATTAATTAAATGATGCTTCTTTATTGACATTCCTTGATATATGGTCGATCCAATGTGAGAGCTTAACTCTTCACATTTCCTATATTCGAGATTCGATATCGCAATACAATTTTGCAGATCCTTGAAAGTAATTACGACAAAAAAATTTTGACGTACGAAAAAACTAATTAACAAAACAAAAAAATTTCTAGATATGTTATTATATATATGTATAAATTATATCGATTATATATGTATATTCGGAGAATATATTTGGCAAAGAAGTAAAGCGAGGCTGAATTTCGGAGACTCTTGAAAACTACAAAAGATGTCAAGAGAATTACACATACATACACATACATACTGTCTCACGGACTATTGTCATAAAAAGAATTTTAACAAAAGGGCGTATTACAAATTTTGCTGCCTCTTATCGAAACATATTTTTCTGATAATTTTTATATTTTTAATTACTTATTTGCTTAATTACTTATAAAACAAGATATATATATTATTTTAATAATTTTTATGGTTTTTCGAAAATTGCAAAAGATTAATTTTTTATTTATAATAAATAGCGTACAATTTATACAAAGCTAATCGATGAACATTTTGCTATTTGTTATAAAAAAATCATAAAGATTATATTTATTGTATATGTATATGTATATATGTATACTTATTATTTCGGACATTCCAAAAATTGAAATTATAATCTGTTACATACTATCCTTGGCATATATAAAAGTCTTTCCAATAAAAAAAAAGTAATTTTATGAAATAATACAATCCATCAGTATCATTTACTTTTTTTTTTGCTTTACAAACACAAAAAAGTAATATAATAATCGCATGACGGAGCTGGTAAATAATTAGGGGTAAAGTCGTATATTGTGCGACAACCTATACTACACCAATTAATTAAGGTTTAAATTTTCGCATGATGGGTTCGGGAAAGGATTCATGCGTA